GGAATCATTTCATGGGAGAGCCAAGGGCCCCAAAGTTTCTCTCTTCACAGGCTTAACTAGCAGGGCTATTATTTTTATGGCCCTCCGGAGAGATTCCTAGAGGGCTGCCTTAAAGTGACAGTCCTGGCCGCTGAGCCTGGCCGGGCCCTGGAGGGAGCCTCCTGAAAGTTCTGACATCCCAGGCCCCGAGTGCTGGCAGCCGGGGACGGAAAGACACATCTCACGGTCCATGAGGATAGGCACCTGCAGGACAGGGAGATCTGCTCCAACACAGAAGAGGCACCAACCCAGTTCCTTGTTCAACACGCAGGCAGCACGGGCGGTGTGTGATCCGCTATTCCAAACACTTTACGCGCACGACGTTTAAACCTCGTGGGCCAGGTACCATGAAGCCCATTTTACAGATGAGTCCATGGAGGCCTCAGAAGGGTAACGGATCGAATTTGAACTCGGGCAGTCTGGTTCCGGGGTCCACGCTCCCGGCTGCGGGGTCGCTCGTGAAGGCGGCCAAGAGGCAGAGTCGTTGGGCGCCTCCCTGTGGCTCAGTCAGGCTGGCGTGGGAGGTGTGAGCGTGGAGACGCGAGAGCGCGAGCGGGGACCACGCTTCACGTACGTACGCGAGCACACCCACATTGGCACGTATACGTGCTCGCGGCCATGTCTGTGTGCGCGTAACCGCGAGCACACGCGGGCGCACACTCGTGCGCACACACGCACAGCCACGTACGTGCGCACACGCGCTCTATCTTTACTCCGAGGGCCGTGGCCCTTGAAACCGGAGAGCGTCAGCAGCAGATTTGTGCTTTGGGAAGCTCGTTCTAGCCAGGGGGCCTGTGGGGAGGTCACTTCTCCGAGCCTCAACTTCCTCCTCCAGGAAACGAAGGACTCGTTTCTCCTGCGATGAACGTGAAAGTTCCTTGTAAGCCACAAACCTGACGGTGCGTGAGCCATGTTTTCAGAAGCCGGCGTCCTTGTCGAGAGAGTAAATTGTGGAAGTTACACACCGTGGCTCTGCACACCTTGTGTCAGCGTGAGGGTGGTGGTGATGTGTGCGTGTGCGCGCGCGCGCGTGTGCGTATCAGGACTATGTGTAGCAAAGGAAGAAACAGGACCCAAAAAGGGTAAGAAAAATGTGCGGGGTCACCCAGCAAGTTTACGACTGAGCTACGATCTGAATCCAGGCCTGTCTGACTGCGATCCTGGTGTTTCCTGCCTGATGCCCCAAGGCTCGGGAAACGCCCAAAAGTCAAGGTTACAGAATATTTTTCCCCAGGCCACTTGTCTCCTCTGACCATTTGACATCCCCATCCCAGCGGCAGGGCCAGCGGGCACTTCCAGGAGGCCTCGAGGGACAGCTCTACACGCCGTTAACCACAGGCGACCCTTGTCAACCCAAAAGTATTGATGTGTATTCTGCATAGCCTGGCAAGCTGTAATGTGCCTTCGTCTGTCCCTCCCTCTTTCCTGACTTTCCTAGTCCTACGAGCGAGGCTGCACCGCTGCCCCCCCCCCCCCCGTAGGAGGAGCCTCTGGACATAGGAACAAGGGGGGCAGATTTGCGGAGGCTTGCACATTGGATCAGACCTGGGCCCGACTGCGGGCCTCATCACTTCCTACCTGTCAAATGGACACAAAGGAACAATAGTTAACACTAGGTCACCTCTGAGACACGCGGAGCCCCGTTCTGGATCAGAAGATGGGCATGATGAGTGCTGAGGAGGGGGCGAGCGTAGGCGAACAAGCCCTCCGGGGACGTGAACGGTGTAGGTGGGAGAGTTGAGCAAAACGGAGCGCTTGGCCTGTCGCTGGCCTCCCGAGAGACGGTCCCAGCTGTTACGGAGAGCTGCCAGGGCCACAAAAGAGACCTCTGAGTCCACAGGTCCTGATGCGTGGAGGGCAACAGAGCATGGAGAGAACAGGGGCCGCAGACGCAGGAAGGTCGCGGAGTTGCAAAGACACGGGCTTGAGTCCCGAGCTGTTACCCGTTGCCCGAGCCACCTCGCCACATTCACACCGCCTCTCTGAGCCCCGGTTCCCTCTTCCCTGAAGGGGAGAGGATTACACCCACCTCTCAGCTTGCGTGACGGTTGCAGGCTGTGTTAGGAAAAGGCCAGGCACCGAGCAGACGTTTGAGAAGAACCCCCCCCCCAGGGGGGGGGGGGGGGGGGGGCGGGTTACTGTCGTTTGGACATTTCCCGTCACTGAGGCAGGGAACCCACGCAGCAGGGCCTGGGGAAAACTCCAGACTGCCTGCGGGGAGGAAAAGCTTCCAGCACCTCCCTGCCAGCCGGCACTTGGGGCTTCACTTACCTCTCCGAAAATTAAATTAAACCTTAACAGTAGTACCATTGTGGCTTCTACATCGCTGGCCTTGCCAGAGAATCGTCTTTAATATCCACCGCTGACAGGATGGAATTAGCTGCATTGTGTTTTTCTTTTTTTTTTGTTTGGGTTTTTATTTCTTGCTGTAACTTTCATCCCCCCCCCCCCCCCCCAGGGGTGTAAGCTGGTGTTTAATCGCATCCTGAGAGCACCGGGCAGCTCTTCAGTAGGACGGGCGGGAGGCCTTGGCCCCCGAGCCGACCAAGGTGAGTGCTCCGTGAGCGGGGGCAGAGGGAGTTTCTGTTGGTCTCCCCCGCATCCGAGTCGGCCAACAACACAGGCTCTCCAGGCACAAGAGAATCAGTGAAGAATTATGGTTAAGCCTCCTGGTCATTATCCTCATTAGAGGTAACCGGAGCCCGCCTGGCCCGAACGCAGCTCTAAACCCCACTAAGACGGGACACACTCGGGAAGAATACGCTGTGTGTAATTTAATAATCCTGGAAACAAGTCCGCATTCTTTTTTGTCTCTGGCCCAGAGGAGAGGTAATTCCCGACGCAGCCAGGGAAGCAGAACCGTGCAGACTCGAGAGAAAGGCCTAGATGGGGTGGACAAGAAGGACTTGGGATTTGGAAGCGGTGCCCTTTCTCCTAGGTGGAATCGCGACATCCCGTTCCTCCGTGCCCCCGGCAAGGCCTCCGCGAGCCCTTCAGAACCTTCCAGAACCTTTGCGTGCATCAGAGAACGCAGGCCCGGCCCGCGACACTTGTGTGGCAAGTGGGGAGGCGGCCGGCTCTCAACCCCACTCTGCCCGCTTCAGAGAATGCCTGTGTAGATGGCCCCCGCCCCCATCGCCCCCTGGCACACCGACGGCACCTCACGGTTCACAGAGCACTTTCACATCCTTCCCCTTTCGGATTCTCCCACAGTCCCATGGGCGAGGTGAGGTGGGATCGTTACAGCCATCTCACAGATGGGAAAGTGGAGGCCCAGGGGTGTGAAGTGGCCTACTGAAACCACAGGGCTTCCCAGGACCATGGCTGAGCTGCAACTGATCCCGAGTCCGGGGAACCCTTTATGTGTCCTCCAAGGCTATTAGTAAGAGCTGAGTTGCGTGCACCCCCAAATTTATATGCCGAAGCTCTTACCCCAGCGCCTCAAAATGCGACCGTATTCGGAGACTTTAAAGAGGTGATTAAGTTAGCGCGAGGTTGGTAGGGTGGCCCTGATCCAGTCTGACTGGTGTCGTTACAAGAAGAGATCCAGACACAAATACACGGAGAAGGTGGCCGTCTACAAGCCAAGGAGCGAGGCCTCGGGAGGAAACAACTCTGCAAACACCTTGACCTCGGACGTCCAGCCTCCAGAAGGTGAGGAAATCAACGTCTGCTGTTGAAGCCACCCATCTGTGGGATCTGTTACGGCAGCTCAAGCAGACGAATGAAGGCTGTGCTAGGCCTCCCTGCCTCCATGGAGTCTGCTCTGTTAAGCTGGCCTTCATTTCCTTTGTTGGCTCCCTGCCCCCCTTTCTGCCCTGGCCAGCACTTGACATCCCCCTCTTGGGACTGAGACCTGACCTGTGGGGGGCAGCAGTGGGTGGGGCACAACAGGCCCCCAAA